TATAGAGAAAATAAGTTGTTGCTTGTAAGTCTGTGGCTGTACACTTTTAAGTTGTGGTTGTCACCATCTAGTACTATATAGTTGTTGTATTTTTTTATCTAGTATTATTGATGGCAGTGTGTATCACTATATATCATTGTATTTCATGTCGTTCTGTATATTGATGGAAAAGTTTATATCCTTGTCGTAGGTACTGCCTAGTATGCATAAACAACAACTATGATTGGTATTTTAAGTTTTTGAGCCTGAAAAAAGCAAAATTTTTCAAGGTCAAAAATTTCAGCAAACTGCAATCATGTCCGTTGAAAGACAGATAACGTCAAGCTACTGCAAAACTCATCGTCAATCTTCTGATAGACAAGTATAAAAACTCAAAATAATATACACTCCTAATGATATAATTGGAGACATGAACAAACAGTATGATCTCCAAATGACATATATGAAAGCATGGAGATCGAAAGAATATGCAGTTCAAGTACTGAGAGGAAACACGAGTGAATCATATGAAAAGCTGCCCAGCTACTTTTATATGTTGGTTCTTACAAATCCTATGTCAGTGGAAGTTTGAAAAAACAGAGGAGGACTTGTTCATGTATGCTTTACTTGCACTATATCCGTCTATAAAAGGATGGTAGTATTGCAAACCAGTTGTTGTTGTAGATGGAATTGTAACGACCCGACTGGTCGTTTTGAGCAATTTCGCCCGATTTGGTAGTTTGAGGTCTCGAGCAGCTTCACATTATGTATATCGACTTGTGTGTATGGTTGGATTCAGTTTTCGGATGAATCAGAGTTGAACTGGAAGAAGGAACCTAGTTTTGGAAGTTTAAACAGTGAAAATTTGATCGGAATTGGACTTTTGAGTAAACGGCCCCGAAATGGGTCGTGGGTGATCTCGACAGCTTCATATGGTAATTTTAGACTTAGGAGCGTGTCCAGATTCAGATTTGGAGGTCCATAGGGTAAATTGAGGCATTTCGGCGAAAGTTAGAAAAGTTAAAATTTGGAAAATGGAGAAATTTGACCCATAGTTGACTTTTGTGATATCGGGGTCGGAATGAAATTCAGAGAGTTGGAGCAGCTCCATCATGTCATTTTGGACTTGTCTGCAAAATTTAGCGTCATTCTGGGTTGATTTGATCGGTTTCGGCACAAGTTTTCGAATTTGGAAGATTTGGAAGTTCATAGTTCGATTCATGGTGTGATTCATCATTTTGGCGTTGTTTGATATGATTTGAGACCTCGAGCGAGTCTGTGTTAGGTTATGAGACTTGTTTGTGAGTTTAGACGGGGTTCTGGGGGCCTCGGGTGTGTTCCGGGTGGGCTACTGGTATTTTTTCCCATTTTTGGAACTGTTGTTTTGCTGCTTCTGGTATCCTTCTTCGCGATCATGAACATCCTCTCGCGTTCGCGATGCCTTGTTGTAACCATCTCGAAATCCTTCTTTGCGTTCGCTTCCCTTCCTTCGCGTTCGCGAAGCCCTACATTTTCCTTCTTCGCGTTCGCAACATTCCCTACGCGTTCGCGTAGGTCCCTGCTTTTCTTCTCCGCGTTCGCGAGCTCATCATCGCGTTCGCGATGAGCAACCTGGCATCCTTAACTTTTCTTCTTCGCGAACGCGGTCCTCTCTTCGCATTCGCAATGCACAAAAATCTGGGCAGACAAAATATATCCCAAAATCGAGGGTTTCATCATATTTTGACTTCTAGAGCTCGGTTCTTGGTAATTTTTGGTGGGTTTTTCCCGTAATTCGATTGGGTAAATGTTCTTCAACCATAATGAAATATATTCCATGAATTTGTCTTTATTTTTATCATTTAATTTGTGATTTGGGTTGAGTAAAGTGTTGGTTTTTGAAGAAAAATTCCTAAAATGAAAAATCGTGATTTGAGCGACCAAATGGTATCGGAATTGGATAAATTTTGTATGATTAAACTCATTTTGGAATGGGTGATCGGATTTTGTAAAATTTGACGGGTTCCGAGGTGCGGGCCTAGGGGTCGACTTTTGGGTCGATTTTTATATTTTTGTAAAGATTGAAACTTCATTAATCGGAATAGTTCCTTATTCGATTTATGTGTGTTTTTGGAGTTGTTATAGTTGGATTTGAGTTGTCCGGAGGTTTTTTCACCCGAGAAGTCTATTTTAGAGTACCGAGTTGTCGTCTTTGAGGTAACTATCTTGCCTAACCTTGTGTGGGGGACTTCCCCTTAGGAACTGAGTCTTCTATGCTAATTGTAGTCCATGCATGCGAGGTGACGAGTGTGTGCTCGGACTTATTTGTGAAAAATTTACCTCTAGGGTTCTTAGGTCCTTATATGGAGAGTATCCTGTTATGATTGGGTTTCCTAGTTGCTTAAATTGCCTCTATATGCTCCATATGACGCTGTTAGCTTTCCTCTAGTTCTTACGCGTTACATTGATTCTAAATTGCCTTAATTGAAGTGATTGCATTCCTTATTTTTTTGATACTTCTTGGTTGTGAATTCCTCTATGACTTCGTGCAAATAGGTTATATGTCCAATTATTGTGGTTGCCGGTGTAGTTATCACGTGCTTATTATGTCTTGTTGTATAGTTGAGGTTTCATTGTGAAGTTAATTGTTGGTACAAGTTTGGTTATAGCTGATTCCCTTGCCGGGACATATTTAATTATTACTATTGGTTTCCTTGTCGGGACGTATTTTATTCTTGTTGTTGACTCCCTTGCCGGGATATTGTTGTTTCCTTATTTTTTCCCTGCTGGGATTCTTTTGTGATTGGTGTGGATTTGTATATTGGGATCGGGTTGCACGCCGCAATAGTATTATATGGATCGGGTTGCACGCCGCAACAATATTATATGGATCGGGTTGCACGCCACAACAATATTATATGGATTGGGTTACACGCCGCAACATTATTATATGATTTGGATCGGGTTGCATGCCACAACAAGATTATATGTTTTGGATCGGGGTTGCACGCCGCAATAGTAATATTGGATTAGGTTGCACGCCGCAACAAGATTATATGTTTTGGATCGGGTTGCACGCCACTACAGTAATATATGATTGAGATTGGGTTGCACGCCGCAACAAGAAAGAATAAAAGTGAATATTTATTCTTATGGTGAGAACGAGAGTAAAAGCACGAAGGGTGATGCCGTGCACTTTCTGCTGTTGTGTATTTGTTTATATCAATTCAAATGTTTAAACTGTTTAATTCATTTATTGATGTGATCCTTTGTCTTAGAACCCATAATGTTTTCAATACCTCATTGTATTTATATATATTTATTTATACGTTCCAATACTTCAAGCTTCAATAATTGTTACATCTCTAATTCAATTAGTTTCTCAATTATATCCCCTTAAACCGTCTGAGGTTGTATTTTTCTTAAAAAAGAATTTCTACTAAGTTTTAAGTTATCAACTCCCCTGTTAAAGGTAACAATTCTTTCGATGTTGTATTTTAAATTAAAAAGGGGTACTTTCTTTACTCAAAGGATTTCCAAAGAAACAACTTCATCTTTTCTCGCTGGCTTTTCCTAATTAGCTTAGAAATTGAAATTTTACTTATATTAGGTAAATGGGACCTCTTGGACATATTGAGTGTATTGTACGGACGTTATGTATTGTATAGCATGAGGATTTTATTGTTAAAAGTGAAAAGAGAAATGAAATATAGGGGCACAGGGTGTCGTGTGTACTGAAGGTTCGGGAGTTGAGATTATGATATGAGGAATCGAGGGTTGAGACGGTCGGGATTGTGTACTAGGCATGATATGATTGATTTAGTTGGCATTACTTTTTTTATTTGGATACATTCTTACTTGTCTCTGTTCTTGTTATGTCAGTGTTGATTTACTTGGTTATCTGATTAACTTGGTTATATGATTTACTTGATTATCTGATTTACTTAGTTATCGTTCGTTACTACCCGTGTTCTCCCTTATTGTTCCTACTATTTGTATTTTGATTTCTCTCGGCTGTTGGTATTACCTCGTTAACTATATCTCGATATTTTATTATCATATCATGTTCATTTCATTTGACTAGTAGGTGTCTTGACTATTCCTCGTCACTACCCCACCGAGGTTAGTCTTGATACTTACTGGGCACCGCCGTGGTATGCTCATACTATACTTCTGTATATTTTTTTGTGTACAGATCCAGGTATTGATCGATAGTAGTTGTGCGGGTCGTCGCAGTGGAGACTCACGATAACCTGCTGCGTTTGCAGGTCTCGGAGTCACCTTCGTTTGTATTTACGTTTCATTGATTCCTTCTCGTTCTGGATCAGTGTTGTATTTACTTTGTATAATTACTCTTACCTAGTTTTGGGAGTTGTAAATTGCTCAGAGTAATGTAATTTAAAGTTAGTAAACATCAATGTTATTTCAATTTATGTTAGGCTTACCTAGTTTAGAGACTAGGTGTCATCATGACTCATTCGGAGGGATTTTTGGGTCGTGACAGGAACCTTTCTTAAATCGACATATAGAGAAACATTATTGATAGCATCCACACAAGATCCAACAGGTAAAAATAAGACTATATGTATATATTATTTATGTATATACTCACATATGTTTATATGATTTAATTTATTAGGTATTATCCTACTACTAGCATATGCCATAGTAGATTCAGAGAATAATACTTCCCGGGAGTGATTTTTCGCAAGGTTCAAGGATGCATTTGGGGAAAGGGAGGGAATGTGCATAGTCTCGGACATGCATGAAGGCATTGAAAATGCAACGACAACATTGTATCCACAAGTACCTCCTTGTGTCTGCATATGGCATCTATGGAATAATGTAAAAACAATTACAAGAAAAATCATTTGTTGATCAAAGGCATATTCTTTGCTATGGCCAAAGCATACACAGTTGAGAAGTTTGATTACCACATGGAAGAGGTAGAGAAAATTGATAAGTGGGTCTAAGATTACTTAATGAATGTTGGGTATAAAAGATGGTCCACATCATATTCCACTGTCAACAGAACATTGACAATGACTTCAAACATTGCGGAGTCGATCAATGCAGCGCTCAAGGATGCTAGGGAACTCCCAGTACTGCCTTTGCTGGACTACATAAGGCAATTGATTGGACGATGGAATGTTACAATCCAAAGGAATGCAATAGAGTCATTTACTGATCTTGGAAAAAAATATGATACAATGCTGATAGACAATATCGAATTGTCACATCAGATGAAGGTATGACTGGAATCTGTAGATACCTGTGCATATAATATGTAATCATGCCGAATTCACGGATCGGTTATATCTTGAACCCTTTATGTGATTCTGTTAAACTAGTGTCCACCTGCACAAAAGCAAAGGCTTTGAATTTAAGGTAGCATCTATGCCTACCCCACTGTTGAAATATTGGTTGGTTTGACATGATATTAAGCTATTTTGAATCTTGTAGGCTCTCTAATATATGTATTTTGAGGGCATCTGCTTTGCACCACTAATGATAGTTGATAAATTTTGTAGGTGACCCCTTCGACGAGTTACTTATATTCAGTACTTGACAAGGATAAGCTTAGAATGATGTTCCTAAAAGATCGAACTTGCAACTGTAGAAGGTTTCAGTTGGATGAGCTGCCATGTGCACATGCTTGGGCAGTATTAAAATACAAATACATTGATCACATTGAGTATTGCTCGGTGTACATCACTAGAAAGTACCTATTGAAGACCTATGAAATTCCAATTTATCCGATTCCGCACATGGAAAATTTCTGCAGAAGTTCTAGATGAAAAAGTCTTGCAACTAGACGTGCCTAAAACAATAGAAAGGCCAAGGAAAGGGAGGTTCAAGCCAATATCTGAAAGGGAACGAAAAAAAATCGATTTCATGTGGACAGTGTGGATAAGAAGGTCACAACAGAAAAACTTGTAGAAATAATCCAAAGAGAGGACGAAATATGTCAAACTTAGAATTACTTGTTATTTTACTTTACTGAATGTCATAGAGATTTAGAAGAATCCAATATATCAAGAATTGTATTATTGCAGAATGTCATTTGAATTTTTATCACGACCCGAATTTCCCATCCTCGGGAGTCGTAATGGCGCCTACTAGTGTGAACTAGGCAAACCAAACCCTTAACTACTTACTTCATTATTCAACTACTCCTTTTTAACAAATGTAAGGTGATAACAGGAAAACAACGGAACTTTAAATAATTAAGCGGAAGATAACAATTAAATATCTAAAATCTACGTCTACTACAATTACTTAAGTCTCAGCCACCCAAAATCTGGTGTCACAGCGTCATAGACGGTCTAAGATTTACTACATACAAAGACTGAAAAAATAATAATACACTATTTCTGAATAAAAGGAAAATGAAACAGGAAATAGGGATAGAGGGAGACGCCAGGGCCTGCGGACGCCTACAAGTCTACCTTGGATCTCCATGTGAACTGGAGGTAGCCTCCCCACTACGGTCCAAAAGCTGCTCCGGGATCTGCACACAGTGCAAAGTGTAGTATCAGCACAACTGACCCCATGTGCTGGTAAGCGTCTAGCCTAACCTCAGCGAAGTAGTGACGAGGCTAGGACCAGACTACCAAATAAATCTGTGCAGTTCAAATAGATATACAGCGAAAAAAAATACAGAAATAACCAGTCAATATGGGAGGGGGAACATGCTGTGGGGGAGATAACAGTTCCGAATAGAAAGGCATCAAGTAAGGAAAGAATCAACATAACTCGGATATCAACAAAGAATCAGAAATCAACAAATGCACGGCATCATCCTTCGTGCTTTTACTCTCGTCCTCAGCAAAGCAGTTATATAATAAAAGTGTGCATGGCATCACCCTTCGTGCTTTTACTCTCGTCCTCACCAAAGCAATTATATAATAAAAATGTGCACGACATCACCCTTCGTGCTTTTACTCTCTTTCCTCACCATGTAATCAATAAAATCAGCACGGAATGCTACATCGTGCGGCACAACATCATCCTTCGTGCTTTACACTCTTTCCTCACAATAACAAACAATGACAGCATCACCATTCGTTCTTTAACACTCTTCCTCACCCAAACAACAATCACAACAATGAGGCAAGGGAATAAATGAAACTGCAATAAAGATCCCGGCAAGGGAACAACAATTCAACAAATAAATCCCGGCAAGGGAACATCATCAATAACCTCAACATCCCGGCAAGGGAGATATTGAATAATTCAACAATAGCCCAACAAGGGCGACAACATAATGATTTCTTCTCTTTCTCACTTTTACTTCACAATTCACTTCACAACTCGAGCCAATGCTCTAGAGGTTCAATTATCACTTATACTTTCACAATTCCTTATACAACTTGAGCCAACGCTCATCAATGTTCATAGGTCACAATTCCGTCCACAAACTTTACACAACAAATAGAAACCATTACCAAGGCATGAAAGATACAACGAAGTCATGATAATCACAATATAAGACTCACATGCATGCTAGACACCAACATATAGATACTCATCACCATGCCTATACGTCGTACTCAACAATTACCACATAGCAAATAGGACTCGACTCCTAATCCCTCAAGCTAAGGTTAGACCAAACACTTACCTCGATGCCACGAACACAATTCACAATTCAATTATAGCTTTACCCCTTGAGTCCACCACCAATTCGCTCGTATCTAGTCATAAGTTACTTAATTGCATCAATAAACGCTAAATGAATCAATTTGAATGCATGAAAATGAGTTTCTAAAGTTTTACCCAAAAAGTCAAAATTGCCCCCGGGCCCATATGGCCAAAACCCGAGGTTCGAACCAAAACCCGATTACCCATTCCCCCACGAACTCAAATATATAATTTGTATTGAAATCGAGATCCAAATCCCCAATTTTTTAAAAACCTAGGTTCTACCCAAAACACCCAATTTCCCCCATGAAAATCATTGATTTGAAGTTGAAATCATGTTAAAAGATGTTAAAGAGTGAAGAAAATGAGTTAGAAATCACTTACCAACGTTTTGTAGAAGAAAGGTTGTTTGAAAAATCACCTCTTATGTTTTTGGGGTTTTGAAAAATGAAAAATAACTGAAAATCCTATCTAATCCCTTTCAGACCCCTATGCGGACCGCACAAAATCGACTGCGACCGCACAACCCTTCCTGTGGACTGCAGTGACATGCTTTAGTATTTTAACCATAACTTTCTTTACAAATTTCCAAATTATGATTTACTTACCCTTTTGAAAACTAGACGCAAAGGGCTATAACTTTCGTTTTTGAATCATCCGAAAATTCCTTGTAGATCAAAAGATATGGGCTTCCGAAGTCGGACCAGTGAAACGTTCTTCACCGCGGACCGCTCAGAATCTAGTGCGGCCGCACAGGCCCTCACCGCGGTCCGCACAAAATCCAGTGCGGCCGCAC